CCATCCATCCATCCATCCATCCATCCATCCATCCATCACGTGTATGCTGCTGATATCCAAAGGCTCTGTACAAGCCCTACTATTACCAGATTTGAGGAATAACCTAGAAAGCATTTGAACCATTTACCATGACCCTAGACCTCAGAATTTACATACAGTAGGTGTAAAGGAAAAAGACAACAGGAAAACTCCAGCACTAGATACACGTTTCATAGTTCTTCAAATAGCTAGCTGTGATGGTAATGGGCTTCTCTGGAGGGTACACATAACATTTCACCCTTCCCAAGCAGCTGATCCTTCCAAGCACCCTTCCAAGCAGCTGGTGGTTCTTCCTTACAACCCCTGTGAGGAAGGTCCTGTAATCAAGTGTTTCGCAGCCCACACATCTTAAAGTTGCTGAGGTTGAGAAATACTGCTCTAATCCATCTGATAAAGCAGCAGCAAACAGGGATGGCAGTTTCTTGCTGGCTGGTTCTTTGGTTGATTCTAAAGAATGCTTACAGTACCCAATCCAAGGCAAAAAAAAAAAAAATTGTTTCCAGAGAAGGGCACAAAGGGAAGCACCTGAGTTTATGAGAGTCTTGTACAATTTGTGAGTCTTTTAGCACAATGTGTAATTCTGCCCTGACTCGAACAGAAGACCACCAGGCAACCAACACAAGTGCCATTTTCTTTAGTATAGCCAGACATATCAACACATTCCATCAATTTGGTCTATAGCCATCTGGGGTACCTTCCATTCTCTGGGGTTCAATACTCAAATTGCAGCAGTGTCTGGGAACACAGAACTAAAAGAATCTGAAAGACACTCACATTCCGAGAAATCTTGAGACATGGCCAAACTTTACCAGTAATACCTTCTATATAAATCTATAATGCAACAATTGTGGAAATACTGTGTACATGGCACTACGTATACTTTAAAAAAAAAAGTGAGCTAGAAAAGATACAGAAGAGGGCAACCCAAACGGAACTAGAACTGCTCCCCATCTAGGAAAGACAATAGCGTTTGGAGCTTTTTAGTGTAGAAAGAAGGTGAGCAAAGGCAGTGTTTCTCAACCTTGGCAACTTTAAGATGCCTGGACTTCAACTCCCAGAATTTCCCAGCCAGCAAATCTTTTACTACGGCCAGAGTGGTCTTGGGACTTCTTTCCATTAGGTGTCTAGCAAGGTTGAAAGATAACCAGATTCTTAAATACCAGAAAAAGACATAAGAGTTTGCTGAACAAGAGAAATCAGCATTCTTTTGGATTGGTTAATACTGAAGATTCTGGCAGCCAAAGTCCAAACAAGCCAAATTGAAGCCCAGACTGTCCCATTTTCACCCTTGCTGTCCCATGTTTGCCACACTAAAGTTCTTGTAGAAAGGTTTTAGCTTTAAGAAGCCTCTTTAAGAAATTTTCATTACTCTTATTTTACACGCTATGTTGTCTCTAATTGTTATGAATGTTTTTACACCAAAGTGTGCAATGTAAAATACACAGGACAGTACCTTACCCAAAGAAGAAATCAGCTCAGCTTGTACTACATACTAAATCATAAAAGGTCTAGAGAAGGTTAACAATAATCAAGCTTAGGATGTTGGGTAAATGCAGTGCTAAATTTTAACTGATCTGGTTAAGAATGTTCCATAGACTCAACAATGTAGTGATGCTTGTTCTTTCAATCAAATATGAAGGACACTTCACACAATGCAAAAAGCCAAAATGAAAGGCACAATACAATAGCCTGAGATTTATAAGAAGCAAGTTTGTCCCTAGAACTACAAGGAGGAGACAACAGGATGGGGCTGATGAGAAAGCAGGAGCGGGAGTGGAGAAGAGAAGAGAGAAGAGCCAAAGTCAAAGTCAAGGATAGGGTAGCATATTGTCAGCCATGAGGCAGGAAGAAGTTGGTTTTAATTCAGAAGAGACCCAGATGTAACTCAGTCTGATCAGTTATATTGTGCAAACACAAGAACATAGTCAACTGTGTGGCAGTATCCATACCGTGCCTAGTCAGTTGTCCAAAAAACCCACAATTGGAGATTGAGTCTGTATTCCAACTTTTTTTTAATTTGGTTGGTGAATTAACCCATTTTCTGGGTTTGCAAATCTTGAACCATAAACTAACTGAATGGGCTAAGGAGTTGCAGTATCCTCAAGGCAATATTGTCTCCAGAAGATTAAACACTGAAGAAAAGTGCTAAGGCTGATATTTAGCTATCACCATATCACAAAGCCGCGCTACTTTTTATGGTACTTTTTCAACTGGTCTGTAAAATCAAATCCTTCTTGACACAGTTGCTGAAAAATCTTCCAAGTATTTTCACAGTTCTTTTAATTAAAATCCTACTTACAGAAAATGAAGAAAATTGCTGGCCTTCTCCTCTGTAACAAGCTGCTTTGAAAAGTTATGTCAAACTAAAGAGCCTATGATTTTCACCCATCTAAGAACATTTTGCATTAGCAGCCTCCAAGTGAAGGTCCTGTCATATTTTTAGAAATATTTTCTCAGGAGTTTCAGAAGCAGCATCAAGAAAGAGCTGCAGTAAATTGAGCAAACAACAAGCATCACAGACAAGCTGGCTGAAACTGCCTCACAAATTATTCATTGATGCAATTCCTTAACTATTTCATTCTGAAGCTTATGGAGCTGTGGCTGTCTTGTGGAGCACTTTTGGGAATGATTAAGGGGCCTTAAAATATTTTTTCCAGTTTGAGGGTTCAGAGCAATATGCTGCTTTGAAACTGATTTCCCAGCTTGGAATACTTTGTCTCAAGACCACCTTTAAACCTTTTCTTCAGTCTCCACCTTGAACTCTGGCTCTAAGAGTTTTGCCCAGACATCATTATAGGGATGCATTTTGGATGATGGTTTCTTATGTTGGTCCACCATGCATCTCCTTTCAGAGGCCCATTTCACTAGACCTCCTTGAACATTGTAAATCTTAGAAGAGGTAATGAAATTTTGATTTGTCTCACAGCACAAGTAGTCACTCAGGAGTTGAGCTGTCATAGATGATCGATAGCCCACAGTACAGTAGCAAACAATGTGTCTGTGACACCCTTCATACTCTGAAATGGAAGAAAAATAAAAGTCATACACATGTGTATGTAGTGTGATGGCTATATAGACATGATACATATCATTGTTCTCTTTCAGTGTAAGTAATGTTAAGTAGGATGCAAAAAAAGAGGGAAAAAAAGTAAACCAAATAAATTAAAAAATAAGATAAGGGAAAAAAAGAAAGGAAAACATAGCTAAAACTAGTTTATACCAACAGCTTTTCATACTTTTCTATCCTTGCAAACTATCCTTGCAAGGCCATACACTGTCTTTTGTTCTTTAACTTCTCACTTCTCTTTTCCAGGATTTCATGAACTCCATCAAACCATAACTTTCTCAGTCTACTTCTTTCTTTTGAATTTTCACTCTTCGTATATTTGTCTGGCAATTCAGTCCTCATTCATTCTCTCTAGCTTCTTCCAGCAGGCTAGACTGGAGCTAATTAAATGGGCACACAAGAATTCACGAATTTCTCATAAGATAGTTTTATTATAGAAAAGTTAAGAAGCCATTATGAAGAATTCTGGCTGACTGCTGTTTATCAAATATGAGCTCAATTTATAACAAGTAATATTCAAATTACTTGTGCCTCTTTCCACTGGCTTTACAAAAAGGGCCAGAAGAAATTATTCTCTTTTAGGCAGACATATAGTTTCCATCCATTTCTTGGTCTGGTAACAGTCTGATTTAGTGTCAGGTTGTTTACTTTTGACCATGTGAAAACTAGTTTTCAAATATATAGTCAACAACCTTAATGTAAAAAGCAAAAAAAAAATTGGAATGAGATACATATCTGTATACAGAAGATTTTAAAGCTTAATATACAATCAAAACCGGAGACTTTCCTTTTGGGTTTGATGGATAAACATTAGAAAAAACTCATGGAACTTTGTTTTTATATATGACAACAGCATGCACAGAGGTGGGAAGATAAGACGTTACCCACAGTGGAAGAATGGATGGTGAAGCTGATGGAGTTGGCTGAGATGGTGAAATTGACGGCTTTGATTCGAGAAAAGCTGATTAACTATTTAATTGACTGCGAGGCTTCTGACACCTTGTGTAATTTTAATGCTAACTAGAAACCTTTTTTTGGACTTTTTGCAGGAAACAGAAAAAAATGAAATGATGTTCTATGGCTCTGATTATTAGAAATAATATGGGTTAATAGAAATAATGAAACTTAAATTTTAAATTTAGAGTAAGAGTTGTATCTTTTACAAGGAGGGTCGGAAGTCAATTCTTTTTTTCTTTTGTTGTTTGTCTATTTTTCTTTTCTTTTCTGAACCTTTGATCTTTACTATCTCCTTTTTTCCAATGTTCTTTTTTGTTTTTCTATTCTTATTCCTATTCTTTCTCTTAATATTAATTTTTGTTCGTTTTTATTGTTCTTTTTTTAAAAAAAAAATTCAATAAAGTTGTGTAAAAAAACCCAACCTTAATGTTACCCTTTTATACTGGTTACTCATTTTTGTATTCAATCACCCATTCAAACTCTTCTTGTTTGACACATATATTTAAGTACTCCAATCCCACTGAACATGCTGCTTGACATTTTTAAAGCAAATGTCTAGATATAACGGCTTGCTTGAGTCCAGGAA